TGATTACCAGTTTCTTTCCATCAGTTTATCGGATGGAAAATAGCTCAGCATAATACGTGCAAAACTATTCATAACCATTCCCTTCTACTACCTTTACATAAGCTAAAAATACGTGTGTTGTTTTGGCACTTTAGCGCCTATCTGGTCACGCTCTAGCTGTAAAACTAACAATAAAAATAGAATTATGAAAAATACAGGACACAAAAAAAAAGTAAAGTAGACATTTATAGGAGACTACAAGGCTATTTCCATAGAATTTTAAAGCAGAAACATCTTCACACCTTTTGGAAAGGCGGCAACATCTCTGAAGTGAGAAAGCATTCAAGTGCTAAGGAACTGAGAGTCTTTGGATCCAACATATGGCCTCCATCCTGTGTTTGAATGTGAGCAGGAGGATTGAATCCACGTGGATTTTTCAGTAACATCAACAAACTCCATGCAGGCATGAAGGTTTGCCCACACACATGAAGCTGTGGAGATGGGACAAAGCAGGAAGGAATACTATAATGGATTGGATGCCAAAAGCTCTTAGTTACCAGATGCACCAGGCTGCATGTTATACCTTCCTATATGCCTAGTGATTATTTCTCTCAGATATATATATATCTGTGCTATGAATAATTCCTTCCCCTAGGATATTACATTTCTTACTTGAAAGTGCCAGAAAAAGCTATTTCTGCGACACTATTTGAGAGTAATTAACTTGGTTTCAACATTTTTGTCCAAACATAACAATGAACCATTCACTGTTAAGTTACTAATGGACATTAGAGACTTGATATTCTTCTCTTCTGCAAGACTACTTTAGCTTGAATTATCTCAGGTTGTACAATGCTAAGAGAAGAAGAGTTATCAGACCTTACAGACCATCATTCAACAGATAATTAAAGCCTTGGCATAATTTAGAGTTCCTATAGGACAACTCTGTGGTATGGCAGGTGGTAAGAGCTCAGAGACTGCAGAAGCAGCAAGACAGAAAATGAAGTGCAACCGTGCTCCAAATACACCCCTAGCCCTCAATGCCAGGAGATGCTACATCAGATGCTCAATACACAGTGGAATTCTTTGATAGACAGGATTTTTTTTACACCATCTTAGTTGTTCATGATACATGATTTATGACCCCTGTGTGCTGCCAAACAAGCCAAACTTACACCATAAAAGGGATCTGCCCCTACGTGACTTGAGATGATGGCAAAGGATGAAAATACTTCCAAATAATGAGAGCTGTAGGCATTGCGTGAATTTCATCCATATTAGTTCCATATTAGCCAAGACAATAAGAGGTAATATATCAATTCATAGGAAGCCACAAATATGTTGATCATTCAGGTTTTATAAATCATTTTGTTGATGGATTAACAGAAAATGTACACAGAAACCTTCTTAATCAGTGCCCACGACAGCTGCATTTTCTTATTTAAATGAAGTATCCTGCAAGGGTTTGAAAACAGCATCCTGTTTTTTTTCTTGAAATTGATTGTTAACATCTAGAATCACAAAAAAAAATTGCTTCTGGTTTATACAAATGACTATGCAAGCAAAGGTGGCAGCCATTATGGGATCAACAACATCCCACCTGAGAACACTGATGCTAATTAATCTTTGGTGGTATTATTACCCAGGAAGGAAATTTTGGACATCATACCTACAACAATTATCCTCTTTCTATATAAACAGTATAATCCCCATGCCATGGTTATCTGCATCTTCAAAGGAACAACAGCCAAAGAGGCCTTATTTCAGCATTCTATCTACCGGACTGCTTCACTTCCACTACCCTGTGTTCCTTCTATGCTGTAGTATCATTAGAAGGAACAAAACCTCTAAAGTCATAATACAAATCATGACTATTTTTCCCCAGAGACTACAACTCAAAGGAATAAACATGCATCATGACTTAGACGGAAAGAGAGGGCTTTCGCTTCTTTCTAAAGGATAGAAATTGTTTTCTTGGTCGTTCAATCTGTTCTTATTTCTCATTTGCATCTGCACAAAGAAACTAGATTCTCCTTTCAAACAAGCAATTTCAAGTAGCAAAAGCCTTAATTCAGTACACCAAGAAAACAAAAATATTTGGTTTTTGAAGTTCACAGATAAATTATTTCCCAAACACAAGGGCCAGTAATTAAAAAAAAAATTATTCTTAAATCTCAGTATCATTTCTTCCAAACCAAGCAATCTATCATATGCACAGGTAACTGACTGATAAAAAATATGTTAGGTATAAAATATTTTGAAAATATATATGCCTCTTTTTAATAGATGAAATTACTTTCCATATACTAAATCTCACAAAAATTCATGCATGTGAGAGACACCAAAAAGCCAATTGTAGAACTTCATTATTTATTTTAATTAAGAGACACATCATAAGTGCTACATTCAGCATAATTTATATTTAAATGTCATGTAAATACACAGCAAAAGACAATGTGACATAACATTGAGCCTATGTTTAATAAATAAGTTTACTAATAATCATAAACTAACTTAATAGTCTTTTTGGTTCAGTGACTGGCATCATCCCTCTGAACAGCAGCCCTTAATAGGCCCTAATCCAAATCACCACTGGAATTAGTAGGAGGGCCATCACAGGTTTAAATAGACACTGAATCAAGCATTTGCTGATGTTCAGGAAAGATCCATGCACAGAAGACCAGCCTTGTATCTTCACTGCTGAAACAACTGACTTAATAAGAAAGAAAAAAAAGAAGAAAAAAATAATACTACCACATTCCTTAATTCATATCCCTGTAATTTGCAGCAGTGTGCTCAACTAGTGGTTTTTTTAAGTAATGCTGAATGAATGACCAGGGCTGAAGTGCTAAAAATACACAGTTTCTGGAATCCAGCTTTGAGGCAAACCTTAACAGGCTTCATTACACCTCCTCTTACTTACACTGTTATCCAGACATCCCAGCTAGATAATATGCTACAAAACATAGTGTAAAAAGGATGACAGAGGAAAGATACAAAGCATTAGTACCAGTCAGATATCTACAGATCTTAATCCCTTTTACCAAGATGACAAATCCTAAGGATTCCTGACAAAAAAAAAAAAAATCCCTAGGAAGAAAAAAAAAAAAAGGCAAGCCTAAATGCACGCACACATCCTCTATGCAGTTAAAATTAAATACAGCTTTAACCGTACAGCAAAAGCATCCCTCCCTTCATTTATTCACTTTATTCCCCCAAAAAGAACAAAAAAAAAAAGAAGAAAACAGAGATGGATATCAGTCTGTTCTTAGTGCTAGAGGGAGATGGAGAGCGATGAGAGCCCCTGCAGGACTGATCGCACCATCAGTTTCAGAAGCCTGCGTTCCCATGTCTGAAGATGAGGAAAGGAGGGGGGGAGATTAGGAAACACTGGCAGCTAAATGGGTGGCATAAGGACCTGCACAGAATGGGGCAGCTTCTTTCTGTCTCAGGATATTACTGTCAGAATGGCCAAGAAAGCGATGAGCTTCATTTTTCCATTCTCACTGTGGTACTTTAAGAAGTGCCTAATTTGAAGAGAACTGGACAGGTGGCATATCATGCTGAGCTAAATAGATAAGTGTGAGATTTAAATGACAAGAGGCAGCAGGTTTTGCTGTTCTAAAGCGTGAGAGAGTGAATTATTCTGATGGTACCAATGGGCACAAGTGGAAGGTCAGCCTGGGGTGCTGCCAGTGTCACCCGGGTGCCTGGTAGCAGATGGTGCCAGACTGTGGGGATAAAAGAAGGGCTGATGTACCCCGCGGGCCGACAGCAACACTGTTTGCTCAGGAATAAAGAAGTTTTGGGGCAGGTGCAGGCAATACAAATTAACATAGCTGCTGCCACCCTAAATGGCAGTACAAGCATCGGCAGCCCAAGGGCTGTAAGGGTGGATCAGTCAGGGAGTGCTGCGGAAAGCGCAGTGGGGGCAGGCACTGCCAGGCTGAGATGCTGCAGGGGCTGCTGGCTGGCTGGGAGCTGGCCCAGGCCCATCTCTGCATGGTCCCAAGGGAGCTTTGGAGCTCCCTCTCCCTAAGCACCACCAGGCTGGACAGCGAGATGTCCAGGAGGACCCTCTCCCTCCCCCCTGCAGTGCCTTGCCTGTGTTGCTTGAGTTCCCATTTCCAGACTTATGCAATGATGTCAGGGCAGAAGCAGCCTGCAGAGAAGCGGAACAGCAGGAGACACAGGCAGCCTGGATCCCCATGGGGCTTCCTGAAGTGTCCCAAACTAGAAAACTGGCCACCTCCCCACTCCTACCTCCTGCAACACAATTATTCCAGCATGACTGACATGACAAATTAACAAGGCAGCCAGGGCTTTTGCAGTAGAAGAGAGTGTTTTCCCCAAGAACAAATTGTTCCAATCCTTTACGCTAGACACCCGGCCGTGCCTATTCATTAATTGGACAAGCTCTGGTGACAACTGAAATTACCTGACTTCTGCATACTGGAGGGGAGAGAGATCTTTGCAAGCTTAAAATGAGAAGCCTAAAGCTGGAATCCCAGCCACCAAGGAGTTCTTTGAATGGGGCTATTTTTTTTTAAAATTCATTTTCAGAGCACGGCCACAGTAAAGCTCCTTTTAAAAGCAGAGGCACATTCTTCAATGTCATTTTATCCTTTGCAGACCCTGAACTGTGGCACCAGAACACGACAACTCCGCCAATGAACCGCAAACCTTTTAAGATCCACAGATCAGCCGAGTTTAAGAACTTCAGGAGCTATGAAATTCTGGGATTACTGCAATGTTGCGATTAATTATCACAATCAGGTACATTAGGAATTATAAGCATCTGCTTGATCAGTACACTGTGGTTATTTATTGCAACAAATGTATCATTATTACTCCACAGGTATTGGAATTAAGGGGAGGGGGATTGATGTTTGTTGATTTCTGTCATGATCCACTCACAATATGTCGTTCATGTATTTTTCAACTACTATTTTGATTTGGGTTTAACTGTAGCTCTTGCCCCTTGCTAAGGCCACCTCGCCCTTTCTGTGCTAGCTGCGTACCTGAAATGCAGACGATGAAATTCGCTTGCAGAAGAAAAAGCACCTCCCAAACAATTTCCATCCTCCGATTCTCATGCCAAGTGCATCCCTCGGCGAAAAAAAATAACAAAGATCAATATCGCAGTTTGAACGATCCCAGCAAATTTCCTTTCGGACTTGCAGACTGTATTCCCCAGATGTGCTGACAACACATGTCCGAGCTCTCTCTCCGCACGGCTCAAGCGAGATCCCTTCCCTTCCTTCGCCCTCCAAAAAAGACCACGAAGCCAATTGCCAGCACCGAGCTTTTCCTCCACGAGTGAAAAAAAAATCCACCAGATTTCCCAACAAGACATAGACAACAAACCCCAGCTGATCCGGTCCGGAGAGTCTCTATTCCAGGGCGGCCAGGTGCAAGTTCACCCCAAACTCTGCACGTCTCAGCGGGGCAGTGCCAGCATGCCGGGGGGGGAGGCGGCGGAGGGAGGGGGTTTCCTCTCCTGCTGCTACAAAACGAGCGGAAAGAGATTAATACCCGCTGCAACGCATTCGCCCCCTCCCCGCCCCGCACGCTACCGCACCTCCACGGCGCGGAGCACGTAGCAGCCCGCTCTCTCCAGCCCTGCCGGGGTTTCTGCAA